TTTCCAAACCTTTACAATGTTTCCCAGTATCCTGTCTTCATCCCTCATTTTGTAGATGACCTAGCTCCTGCTTCACATAGTCAACAGAACCCAATAGGAATAACCTCAGCTTTCTTCCTCCTCTTCCCTTTAACTGGTCTCAGAAGGAGAGGTGTCTTTATAAGCTCCTCCTCTGCGTTCCTCTTCTGTTGCCAAAGTTTCTGAAAGTGTGGTCTCCATACCTGCTATGCTACTTAGTTTTCTTCTAAGTGAAAGGAAGGGGCCTCAACCCCAAATGATCTGACCCTGATCGAAGACCCTGTGGCCTACATTGGCATGTACTCCCTGACTTCTAAACCTACTGACCTCTTTCCAGGCCTCATCTTCTGTCCCTGCATCATTTATGTCTGTTGTCACATTCTTCTGCTTAAACTTTTCACAGCTTTTCACGTGCCCAGGTCAGGCATTCAAAAATATTGAAGCAATAGTTTTGATGTCTCTTCTGAGCATTCACCAGTATTTTTAATGGGCATTATCGCCTGAATCTCAAATACCTTAAAGCCAAAAATGAGGAATGATTTCCTGTACTCTCCAAACTGATTCCCCTTCCTCTTGCTATCTTTTGGTATCTCTGAGGTTACCATCATTTTATCCATACCCAAGCTAGATGCCTTAAGGTCATCCTTGACATCTCTTCCTTCTCTGGTTTCCATTTGTTTTCTAAACTTTAATGAGTGTCTCCCACATCTTCTTTTCTTTTGCTACAACTCTTGCTCCTTTCTGTGTATTGCCTTTTGTCTGTATTATTTCAGTAATACATTCGGGAGTTTCGAATTTGGATTCCATGGATGGACTTCAAAGGATTTAAGAACCCTCTCTAATTGGTATGCAAATTTTTTGTGCATGTGCATTTTCCTGGGGAGGTCCGTTAGACGGTTCTATGGGAAAGACACGAATAGAATGAGAGACAGTGATAATTTAAATCAGGTTCACTGTTTCTCCTTTGCTATTTAGTTCACTAACCCAGAGCGCTTATCTCTGAGTAGTGAGGTGGCATATAAGACATTAAGGATAAAACAGCAGCATTCGTCAGTCCAGCTCAGCAGTCAGTCCAGCAGCCAGAGATCAGAGGCTCCCCAATATCAGATGCAGGCTTTAATATCCTAGAGAAGCTCAGGAGAAAGCTGGGGCATCAGCAGGAGCCAGGAGAGTGTCCTCCTGAGGCCTCTGGACCCATTTGCTCCTGTGCTTCCAAAGGACTTAGAGAGGTATGAAAACTTAACTGGCAAGAATCCAGAGTCAGCTAGTGAGTTGGTGTCCCCAGAAAAAGGTGAAGAACATGCCCCCAGCTAGCCTCCTGCCCTCTGCCTCTGTTCTCTAGCTCTTTCTCCACTCTACCAACAGTGTTAGCTTTTAAACACATATCTCCTGGTGTGCCGTCCATGATCAATCACTTACACCTGAAAGGTGATTAGATTAATCACCCAAAGGTGTGGGGTTTTAATCACCTATGAAATAAGTTAAAAACCCATGGGCATGGTTTCAAGGCCTGCCAGTTAGGAACCTGCCAGCCTCATCTCCAGGCACTGCCCTCTCCTCACCTCCAAGGCTCTGGCTACAACAGGTTACTACTACTGGCTGTTTCGAGAGAACAGCTTGTGTGTCCATACCCCTATGCCTTCAATCATGCTAGTCTCTCTCTTTGGGGTGCCATTTCCTCTCCATTGCCTAACTATGAACCTCCTACTCATTCTTCCAGGCCTACATTGGATGTCAGCTCTTCCCCTGAGTCCATTCTGAATTTTCTGCCATCACTCTGGCAGAATCAGTATCTCTTGGCTATAATCCAAAAACATTTCATACATATCTCTGATAATGTCATATTATATTGTAGATAGCCTATTTTTATTTCTGTCTTTCCTACTAAGCCAGAAATGCCCTACAGCTAGGGACTGTCTTTTTCATGTTTGTATCCCTAACACCTACCTGTGCATCTAGTCTAAACATGAGCTTAGTACACTTTTGTTGAATGGAATTAGTTATAAAGAGTTTTTATGACTCATTTAAAATTAAAGACCAATGCTTATTTAATAAGTCAGAATAGGCTATAATAATAATAGTAATAATAAAGTCCCATTTCCACTGCTTATTCAAGTAGCTGCTTCCTGTGTGGAAGTGGATTTTGAAAGACTTTACATATCAGTGTATATTTTTGATGTGCTCATTTGCGATCCTGAAAGAATTGTAGTTCTGCAGACTAGAGCTTCTATTACATTCCTGTTGCTGTTATATTTAATATATTCTACCATTTCAGATGGATATGCATTTTATCTTTTTCTTTTAACCTTATAGTAATATTTTGTGAATTATTTTATAGTATCTGAATAAATTCAGTTTAAAACACATTAATTTGAGCATTTTTCATGTACAGAAGCATAGTTGCAAAGTTAAGTTTCTTGTATTTTTATGTTACTTTATTTTGTTAAATTTGCAAAGTCTCAGTCATTGCAAATGTGTTTTGTAGTTATTTAAATTAGCTCAGCTATGAAAGTAAGCACAGTCCATAAATAGTTTCAAATAATTTTTAAAAATCGTCTTCTCTCCTTCATATTCTCTAAGTTTTGTAGGAAAAGAATCAACAGTTTACTTATTCAGCTTTTCATGAAGTGCATAGTAGGTGCTGGGCGTTATGCTGGGTGAATGAGGTAGTACTTGCACTTGAACAGTTGACAGTCTTAATAGGGAAGAAGTATGTAAACAAAGACTTGCAGCATAAACCTGGGAGGAGAGGAAGGAAGACTAGTTTGAGAAACCGAGGTTAGGTTGAGAACAGATGAGTCTGCTGATCAATTTATGGATACAGAAGCAAAGAGCTAAAGCCTTTTTTTTTTTTTTTAATATGTGAAGTAGGAACCTAGGTTATCTCTAAGAATTCATGGCAGGGTGTAGCTCTTGTGAAGAAACATGAAGTTCTGGTTAATTAATAAGGAGAATTAGAGATGAGCTAACAAAGACAAGTAAAGAGTAGCATGCAGTACTGAGAAAGCAGTGAGCATAGAACTGATACTGGATAGCATGAAATTCTGGAGATATCAGTCAGTAACACAGTGGTGTAATTTTCTCCGGCTGTGCTCTGGCCAATGTGTAGGTGCAATAAAGCCATATTGTATTCAGGGACTATGGGGTGGTTATAAGAAGTTCACAAAGGCCAAATAATTAAAAATCCTTCAAAGAAAGTATGGCTTACTAGGGAAGGAAGTATGCTTAAGAGGGAGTTAATAAACCTGGAGAAAATGAAGACATTAAGAAGCTGCATATCAGAAGGCCTGGTATGTTGTGGGTACTCAGCATATCTTCATTTTCTCCTTCCTGGATCCCCTCTCCCTATGTATATTTCACCACCACCACTACCACCACCACCACCACCACCACCACCACCACCACCTGCCTTAGCTATGGTTTATACATATGAATAGTTTCAAATCTATTTGAAACTGATGGTAACGGTTGGCTCAGAGGACAAGCTTAGGAGCCAGACTTAACATCTTCATCCAGTGTGTCCCTGTAACCTAGATGGTGGTAGTGCTTGGTGGTATTGACCTCTAGGAGAAGCTCAAGGCTTCTCCTATTATCCCCCTACCACTCATACTTGAAGAATGAGTCAAAGGCCAAAAGCATTTTATTGGGCGGTGGTTCTTAGGACAGGGATTTACTCTGTGGTGAGAAGGGTTAAGACTGTAAGCCATCAAGTGTTTCCCCTCTCTCCATGTTCAACCAAAGGCGCAGATCTTATTACTTTCAAAGATTTAAAAAGGAGTCTTTTCTCAGCATAAAGAAGGAAGTAAAGACCAGTTCAGACAGTCCAAAGGGTCTTCCTCCTCAGAATCTAAAGTTTCTAGTAGAGTTGTTTGCATCTTGTGATTTTCCTTGAGTAATCAAAAGTATTGTATTTTTTTCTTAAAAATATGCTTTTTATGCAACAATCTTGCATGTTCTTCACATGTACCCCAAAACCTAAAATGCAATAAAAAATGCTTTTTAATACTTTTATTTCAAATAAGGACAAACCATTGTCCATGGAAACATACTATTTATATTGCATTTTCAGAAATTTCCTTTTTTCTCATACTTAGGAGTGTTACCCTGAAATCTAGTCATTATTTCACAGAGTGCTTTTTTGGGTATAATATAAAGATATTAAATCATTTTAATAACTTTTGGGTACAAGTAGTTTTTGGTTACATAAATGAATTATATAGCAGTGAAGTCTGAGATTTTAGTGCACCCCATTGTCCAAGTAGTGTAAATTGTACTCAATATGTAGATTTTCATTCCTCACTCCCCTTCCATCTTCCCCACTTCTGAGTTTCCAAAGTCCATTATACCACTGTCTACGCTTTTGCGTACCCATAACTTAGCTCCCATTTATAAGTGGAAACATACGGTATTTGATTTTCTATTCTTGAGTTACTTCACTTAGAAGAATGGCTTCCAGCTCCAACCATGTTGCAGCAAAAGATGTTATTTTGTTCTTTTTTATGGTAGAGTAGTAGTCTTTGGGGGTGCGGGGTGTATACACACACATATATTATATATAATTTATACATATATATGTAAAATGAAGCAAACTTTTTTTTTTAGTATAGACAGGATCATGCTGTGTTGCCTAGCCTGGTTACATACTCCTAGGCTCAAGCGAGCCACCACATTCAGCCAAAAATAAGTAATATTTCCCAATTATAATTTCAGAGTTAAAAGTATTTGTTCAAAATGATGGCGTGAATGTACTTTTCCAGAAATCTTTAACTGGCAGCTTTTCCCCCTCAAACATTAGTATAGTTATAGGAATTGTTTCTGGATTTCTGGTTGTATATTCCTGTTCATGACTCGTGGACATTAACATATATGGATGGTATCACTATGTTTTTCTCAAAGCGCATGTGAAGAAGAAAAACTTTCCTTTAGAGTCTTACTTGGATTCTAGTTAGCTGATACAAGACTGTTTTCTTTTTTTTTTTCAGGTTGTAAACATGTTAAAGGCATCCTGTTATATGGACCCCCAGGTTGTGGTAAGACTCTCCTGGCTCGACAGATTGGCAAGATGTTGAATGCAAGAGAGCCCAAAGTGGTCAATGGGCCAGAAATCCTTAACAAATATGTGGGAGAATCAGAGGCTAACATTCGCAAACTTTTTGCTGATGCTGAAGAGGAGCAAAGGAGGGTAATGTGAATATAAGTGTAATATAGTAAAAGTTTATCACTCACTCTATGGTGAATGAGACCCAGAGTTATGAAGGCAAAATTGTTACTTTGATTTATATTTTGAAGCAACTTGCAGGTAACTGTACTTAGTACCTGGTTTATGTATAGCACTGCATGGGGACTGTGGGAGATTGACATGATGCGCAGATGTTGTTACCCACATATTCCTATAAACAAAAGCAGGTGATTGTGTAAGCCAGAGGTTTTGCAAAAACAGGTCATGGATATATTTTCAAGTGACACTTTTATTCCATATTGCTTCCAAAGACTTGTACTCATTATCTTTTGGAAAAAGAGGAAATTAAATCCATAAATAGACTTATGGAATTATATAAGGTTCACGTGGAGAAAGCTATCTTACTTCACACTGAGTCCTGGTCAGCTGTAGAGTGACAGGATTGAGTTGTCAGAGCTCAAAGGAAAGCTTGATTTGGGCCTCATAAGAAAATGAAATTATTTAAAAATCAAAACAGAGTTTACTAATTGTGATAGTCAGTTTTACATGTCAACTTGACTAGGACATAAAGTGCCTACATATTAGGTAAAACATTTTGGTTATGTCTGTGAGGATGTTTCTGGATAAAATTAGCATTTGAGTTGATAGACTGAGTATAGCAGATTGCCCTCCCTAATGTGGGCAGACCCCATTCAATCAGTTTAAGGCCTGAACAGAACAAAAAGGCTGACTTTCCTGCAAGTAAGAGGGAATTTGCTCTGCCTGATTGCTTTGAGTTGGGACATTGGTTTGGATGCAAACTGAAACAACAGCCCTTCCTGAGTCTCAAGTTTGCCGACCTTTGGACTAGAACTAAATAATACGTATTGGCTCTCCTTGGCCTCCAGGTTGCTGACTGCAGATCTTGGGACTTGTCAGCCTCTGAAATTATAGATTTATCCTAAGGAATTGGCTAAAACAATTATGGAGGCTGACATGTATATTTGTGTGTATATGCATACATACATATTCACAGAGATTTATCATAAGGAATACACACATACACACGAACATTTTATTTGTTCTGTTTCTCTGGAGAACTCTGATTAATATCTGAATACTAATACATTTTTTTCATTGACAGAAAGTTTAAAAACAATTCCATGAGATATCTGGTTCTAGTAATACAGTAGACTAGGTAACCAGAAAACCTTCCTTTTACAAACACCTTCAAGATGCTAAGTATACACTGTACCCCTTAAATATGTACAATTATGTGCCAATTAAACACAAAGTAAAACTTTAAAAAATTCTGGGTAAAATTATTTTAAATGCATATTTGAGCTCTTCAGAAAGAAATGTGGATCTCCAGGAAATTAGAGTGGTAAGATACAGACTGCAGCCTTTGATTTTATAATGTATGAGTTTGGGTTTTAGTACCCACTAGGGAACAGAAGATGAGTCCTTGAACCCACTTTCAGTGTAGACTAGGAACTGGTACCTTCAAAGGGGTGGTATGTCTATGAAAAGAGTGGACTAGAAAATACCTGTCGCCACCACAGAGAAATTAACAAAAATATTTAATTGCCTGGGTTCTGGAATGGAAGCTGGGGAATCTCCCATGGGAATTCTAAACCATGGATCCTTGTTCATGCTGGTTTAGAATTAGAATAAATATATACTACCTATGTGGCCTGAAACCCCAAGCTGAGAAATCAGTTAAAAAAATTATCTGGGTGCAGTGGCTCATGCCTGTAGTCTCAGCTATTTGGAAGGCTGAGATGGAAGGGTCACTAGAACCCAGGAGTTCTAGGCTGCAGTGAGCTATCATTGTGCCATTGCACTCCAACCTGGGTGACAATGCAAGACCCTATGTTTAAAAAATAAAATAAAATAGTCCCGGGCTAGTGATAGCATAAGTTTTCAAATATAAGCAAACCCCAAGATGTGCTCCAACAACCTAGGCTGAAAGAAATAGAAAACGTAGTCATGAAAATTTAAAACTCAGCAACCAAGTTAAATATAAGACAACAAATTTCAGCTGAAGAGAGAAGCAGTAAGTGGAATAAATCTAAAGAAATCACCAGGAATGTAGCACAGAGAGACAAAGGGATGGAAAAGATGAAAGTTGAGATGACAGAGCTAAAATGAGAAGTCCAAATAGAATATTGTAGAGGCATTATTCACAAAGAGAATGACTGAGAATTTTCTAGAATTGATAAAAGATGTAAGTACTCAGATTCAGGTAATGGCATGAGCCCATATAGGATAAATGAAAATTAACCTATTTCTAAACTTGTTATAGGCGAATGCCAAAGAAAAAAATCTTAATAACAAAAGAAAGACATGGAGATGACTTAAAAGGGGTATCCATTATGTTGATAGCAAACTTTTCCATAACAGAAAGAGAGAATAAAAAGCAGTAGAATATTATCTTCATAGAGCCAAGTGAAAATAACTGTCAACTTAAAAGTTAATACCCAACTTAATTCTCATTCAGGAATGAGAGTGAAATAAAGACTTTTTTTTCTTCGGGCAAAGGATAATAGAATTAACTAGTTGCAGAAGCTTGTTGGAAGATTATGAAGGAGGATGTACTGAGAGTGAAGGAAATCGAATCCAGAAGAAAACAGTAGATCCAAGAAATGATGATGAGCAATGAAATTGGTGAAAATATAGATAATGTCTGGGAGTTCTACTTCTAGTAGTGGGAAATTAGGTCATTTGAATTGTGCTTTCCACTGAAGACTACCAGAGAATCTCAACATAATATTTAAACATGTTTTGCTTGAAGGCATCAACAAAGAAAAATGGAGGCCTAGAAAAAAGGTCCTCCTGGTGTTCCTCCCAAGATGTTAGCCAGTTCTGCAGGAAGCTTTGAAAAGCTAAGCAGCCCTTTTGACAGGCTAGTGGGAGTAATGGGGGCAGAGATTAGAGCCCATGGCCCCTGTGGAGGGGACACTTGATGAACATAACTTATTTTGAGTCAGGACCCTGAAGGGCTGCACCATAGGAGCAAGGGTTAACCAGAAATAAACATACCCTCACTGAGGCTGCAGATCAGCTTTGAATCATGTCAGTCCCTAAAATTAGATTGAGCATTCCTAAATTGCCAGTGCCGCTAGGCATCTGGCAGAATTGTAAATCCTTCCTGGGGGAAAGTAATATCATGTAAGGTCACAAATTATTTCTACTTTGCAAATGCAATGTCTGGCTTAAAATCAAAAGCAACTGGAAACAGAGACACAAACAACATCAAGAAAAAGAAAAGATGGTAGAAAGAAACAGCCTCCAGATACTGGAATTCTCAGATATAAACTTTTGAAATAATTATACTTATCACATTCAAGGGGATAAATGACAAGACTAAGATTTTTGGCAGAGCACTGGAAACTGTAAAAGCAAACAAATGTAAATTCTAGAACTGAGAAAATCAGTAAGTAAAATTAACTCAAGTGAATGAGTTTAAATAGCATGTTAGACACATCTGAAGAGAGAATTAGTGTACTGAAAGATATAAGATGAAAATAGCCAGAGACAAAGAGTGAAAGGAATTAAGAGAAAGTAAGAGAGATAGAAAATACCACTTAAAGGTCTGGTGCATGTATTTAAAGTTCCACAAAGACAAGAGAAAGAGAGTGGATCAAAACCAGAATTTGAAGGGAACTTTCCAAAACTGATGGAAAACATTAGTCCATAAATTGCAGAAATGATATGAACCCCAAGCAGAAGAAATACCGAAGAAATCTACATATAGAGGCATCATTGTTAAAATGCTGAAAACCAAAAGTGAGAAAAATCTTAAAAGCAGCTAGAGAACTAAGGAAATTACCTTCAAATAAGCAACAACTAGCTAGTAGCTGTCTTCTCAACAGAAATGATAGAAACAAAAAGTCAATCAATCATTTTTAAAGAGCTGAAAAAAAATAACTGTCAACTTAGAATTTTATATCCAGTAAATGGATGAATGATCATAGATGGAATACAAGACAGTAATGAAAATAAATAGCCTACAGCTATATACAGTTGTGAATCTCACAAATGAATTATTGAGCAAAAGAAACCAGATTTAAAAAAAACACATGCAGTATGATTCCATTTATAGAGAGCTCACCTAAAGTGTTTAATGATGCATGCTTGGGTGGTAAAACTATAAAGGAAAATGAATAATTACTATAAAAATCAGATTGTGGTTACCTATGGAGAAGGGTCAGGGAGGAGTGCTCGGGAGGGTTGGGAGGAGGTGCTCCCACGATACTGGCAGTGTTCTGTTTCTTATGATTTACATGGGTATTGATTTTGTGACAGTTCATTGAGGCATATATGCATATTTTGTGAACTTTTCTCTTTTATCTTGCAATAAAAAGTTTTAAAAATAAATTTTAACAGCATTCACTGTGTAAAACAACAATAATGATATGGACACTTTTAAAGGATAGAACTAAAATATGGAACAAAATGTTTGGGAAGTAGATTAAATTCATGTAAGAGCCTTGTGTTATTGAGGAAGAAGACAGGGAGTCGAGACCAGCCTGACCAGCATGGTGAAACTCTGTCTCTACTAAAAAAATACAAAAATTAGCCAGGCATGGTGGCGCACACCTATAATCCCAGCTACTCGGGAGAATAAGGTAGGAGAATCACTTGCACCCGGGAGGCAGAGGTTGCAGCGAGCTGAGATTGCACCTCTGCACTCCAGCCTGGGCAACGAAAGGGAAACTGTATGTCCAAAAAAAAAAAACAGAAGAAGATGATAATGTTAGTTAACATGAAACTTTTTTTTTTTTTTGAGACGGAGTTTTGCTTTCTTGTTACCCAGGCTGGAGTGCAATGGCGCTATCTCGGCTCACTGCAACCTCTGCCTCCTGGGTTCAGGCAATTCTCCTGCCTCAGCCTCCTGAGTAGCTGGGATTACAGGCACGTGCCACCATTCCCAGCTAATTTTTTGTATTTTTAGTAGAGACGGGGTTTCACCATGTTGACCAGGATGGTCTTGATCTCTTGACCTCGTGATCCACCCACCT